GGTGACAGGAAGGGAGCTGCAGGGTTGTTTTTCAGAACAAAATACTGCATGTTTGTTCAAGATGTTGAGTCTGCCACATGTTTCAGCCCTGAAACAAGTGAGACCCGCACTGACACTCTAGCACTGCTAAAGGAAATGACCATAAACATGAATACAGCTTCTTATCAGAGGAAAAAGCTGGTGTGCTCTCCATGCCTGTGTTTGTGAACAAGCATCTACTACAGTCCTTAGTAAGTTAATAAGTTCATCACAGCCATTTGACATATTCTTGCTAAAGTGCGTTTAACATCAATAATTAGCTCTGACTAATGAGATGTATTTCCTTTATGGAAGTGTACTTTACATAGAATAAGGGAGGGGTGGATTTACCATTAGTGAGCTACGTAGGTAAATGTGATGGCTGTTTTAAATATAGGTATTGCTATTTTCTACATTAATGAGTTCAAAGTGTTCAAAGTGACGTTATGAACACGGATCTCAGATTTGCGGCTATGTTGTAGTTCTTTAAATGCATACAAATCCAGTTAATGAAACTTCATATTTATATTTCACATAAAGTGCCTTAGCCCAGTAGAAGAAGTTGAGAATGCTTGCATTCCATTTTCTACTGGAAAGACTAAAGGAGAGATGAAGGAGCCACTGCACCACAGCTCAGGCTAAAATTCAGACGGTGAGTATAGAACAGATGCTGAGTGGGTCCAAACGGTTCTGATTCTGCTCATCGATACACTTTTCAGAAACTTTTAGACCACATCAATCATATTCATTCATATTCACAATTCACTTCATTCCATTTGTATAACCACCAAAATGGTGGTGCTCTGACATTTCATCAGTGTTGAAGAATGCCACATTATGCAGAAGATATACAAACATCAGCGTCCTCATCTGGAGAACTAAAAGGACGTCTTGGATGAGTAAGCTAATGAGCTACACAGATGTGTCTACATGCTGTGGAGTCATCACATGATGAGGACTAACTGACTTTAGAAGATCATGCTGAAAAAAATGTCATGTCATCAATATGCAGGTAGAAAATATATTGAATAGTTCATTCATAAATCTATTGGAAAAAAACTATTGAGGAACTTTTCTGTCTTTATAAACCATGGCACACACAACCCTTTTGTCCCTTTTTCCTTTGGAGATTGAGCTGTTGCCATGGTGAAAGGTTGGAGATGTCAGCTGCATTTTAACTCAGTTCTGAACGTGGTTCTCTCTGAGGTTTAGCAACGACTGAAAGTGTATGTGAAAATCTGTGACATCATGTTGTGACCATGTTAAAGGCAGGATGTGAAAGTAGAGAATGGTCCTGAAGAGCATCTGTCCCCTGCTCCCGGGGGTTTCTATCAGGGTCTCTCAACAAAACCTTCTCTGTCACTTAGCATGCACAAGTGGACTGTGAAAGCCTTCTTGGAGAGACTGTGAAAATGATGTCTAAGGGAAATGGGATGTGGACAATAGTCCCGATTTTTGGAACCTTACAAATACAGAATCATAGTTCCTTTATCGTCCCACAGTGGAGAAATCAACATTGTTACAGCAAAGTATAGATGGACACAAAAAAAATAGAGGTTTGATAAAAGGCATGCACATAATGTAAACAATAAAAATGATGATGATGGTAGATAAGTAAGTATTTATAAACAGCAGTATTTATAAAATAAAAATAAATGTAGAAAGAAGTGTGGTAGATAAAAGCAGTACAATTATATGAGTTACATACAGATTGTTGTTACAGTAATATATGGCCTAACTAAGAACTAGCAGCCAGTAGTAATAATCTTAACGAGGAACATATTGCATGTTGCTCAACAGCGGTGTCAAAGTCTCTGTTGTTTTGTTTTAGTTTGAGTTGTTTTACATTATTGCACATTGGTGTTATTTCTCAATAGTGTTGTTTTGAGTGTGGGGGTCTGGTTTGTTGCTCTTCAATTGTTTCGTATTAGCATGATAACCCACAGCCATAACAACTTGAATGATGCATTTAAATACATTTTAGTGGTACTTTGATAATAAACCAGGGAAATCCTATTCAGTTAAAATGCTGTCTCATGACATAACATCTGTCTCATGACATAACATCTCATAACAGATTCCAGTTTCTCCCAGTCAGAGCTCGTCCTACATCACTTTATTATGTGCGGCGCACCTCCGGGCAGAAGAAGATCCAGCCTTGTGTAACTCTTCCACTCTAAACCGGTTTCATCCAGTTCACGAGGTGTTGCCAAGAAACCGGCTCTGTGCCTATGTGTGTGCATGGCTGTGTTTGCGTGTGTGTGCCTGCATGTATTTGTGGGAGCGTCCGTGCATTTGTATGTGTTTGTTTGTGTGAAGGGTCAGGGTTTCCTTCGCTGTGTGAAAGCAGATAGCTGGATTTTTCCTGTTCCTGCTGCCAGTGTTACATAAGAGAGAGAGAGCAGACAGCCTTTGTGCTCATATTTCTCTTACATACATTGATTCTTTATCAAGAAGTTATATAGTCATAGTCACTGTTACATAATCAAAAATGAGCAGCCCCTGTTAACTGGCTGGGAGGCCGACTGCAGGACTTAGTCTGAGCCGTTAGAAAAGCTGCATTTCTCTTAGACATTATTCCAGTTTAAAGTGACTGACTGAGTTATACTGCATAATACACTGTCGCAGGAATGAGTCCTAAAAAACAGAAATGAGTTAGCATTCACCCCTTCTGATTCCCTCGAGGTATGTTTTTCATATGTGTTTTTGGTTGTTACCCTGAAATCAGGTCTGTGGTTAACACAAGCTGAAGAGATTTGAACGTTTTTTACGAAATAAAATACGTCAGTAAATACCACACTGGTTGATTTAAAGCGGTGTCTAAATGAGCAACCCAGTCTCACGGCATTTTGTGTTATAGTCACGACATTTAATCTATTGATTCGTGTTCACCAACACAGTGACGGACGCCAAAAAAGCCAGAGATTATGGAATTAAACAAATAAATAAAAACAAGGATAATTGTGTGTTATTGGTGAGTAAATAACAGTGTGTTATTTAGAAAAGAATAACAAATTAGAAGGAAAAAAAGATTTTAAAAAATACAGATTTCAGTATCCTGAGGCTCTGAGCCGTTTATTTTCCTCACAGACGACAAAAAAACATTATACGATTTAAAATGAAAACAATAATCGTGGCTTGATATTGAGTAAGAACATGTTTTTATGAACCACACAGCTTCCGGTCTTCCAAGACCCGACCGGAGAAAAAGACGTGCTGCGGGCACGAAACATACTACCAATAGAAATACATTGCTTTCAAAATCGTTCTGTGTGACACGAAAAAAAGGGGGAAATCGTGTTGGTGAACACGAATCAATAGATTAAATGTCGTGACTATAACACGAAATGCCGTGAGACTGGGTTGAAATGAGACGACTAAACTCCATCACGTCCAACATTAGCCTCCTTTAGCTTAGCGGTGGTGACGTGAAGTCATGTGACCGTGCTGTAGTTCCTTTATAGCCCAACATTAGCCTCCTTTAGCTTAGCGGTGGTGACGTGAAGTCATGTGACCGTGCTATAGTTCCTTTATAGCCCAACATTAGCCACCTTTAGCTTAGCGGTGGTGATGTGAAGTCATGTGACCGTGCTGTAGTTCCTTTATAGCCCAACATTAGCCCCCTTTAGCTTAGCGGTGGTGATGTGAAGTCATGTGACCGTGCTGTAGTTCCTTTATAGCCCAATATTAGCCACCTTTAGCTTAGCGGTGTTGACCTGAAGTCATGTGACCGTGCTGTAGTTCCTTTATAGCTAATAAACACTAAATATTATAAATTTCAATTAAAAAATCCCATGACTTTTTGTTGAAGGAACCATTGCGATTTTTCCTACAAAGAAAATATGTCATCCATGCTCTGCTCTGTAAAATTGAATAAGAACATTATACATTTCCAATCACAGTTCAGTCAGACAACTCACGTGTTTCTTTAATATGTTTATTAGAAGCAGCATATAGTTAAGTTTGGCGACTAGGCTCGGGCCTCATCACTCCATAGATATACATAGCACGATGAGTGATGATCAAATAACTAACCCCCGAGCTTACAGGTGGAAGCTGGGGTGGAAGCTGGGGTGGTGGTGGGGCAGCGAGCAGCAGCGACGTAGAGGTAGCTGCAGCAATAGCAGCAGCAGCAATGCATGGAGAGAGATCTGCAGGTTCAATAGAGCGGCATATTAAGGAGACTCTGTTTGGTTGGTTGTAGAGTGGCAAGGGGGCGTTATGTATGAATGCAGCATAAGTGCTCGAGTTGACTGCCTGAACTAGCTCGCAGGCTTCGCCCCATTTTTGGGATTTTCATAGTTTACATAGTGATAAAATAACCTTATAAACAGACTGAATTTATGGCTCACCAACCTTAAATGTTAACACAGAGAGAGATCAATAAAACACAGACACGGTTGAGATTAATTATTATTCAGTTGCGCAACCACAATAATAATCTTTGAGTATAACATCACCTGCCACAGCAGTCAATCGTGGAAATGCCCCCCGAATACCAGAAACAGAGGGCAGATATAGGTTTTCTAAATGACACACAAACATGTTCCCGAACCATGTTTAACGCACACACATTGTCAGGTCTCCTAAACTTGGACATGTTCCAGATGTAGAAAGGTCATCATCTCATGACGTCTTTAGGAGTCTTGCAGGATATGAATGATCCAATTAACAAACTATATATACGTCTGCACATGAACGCACATACATTTCTTTACATTAACTAACACACCAACATCCTTATCGTTTCTTAGCTAATGCATGCTGGATATGAACCACTAACTTTAGACTTTAACTGTATTATATCAGAGGAAGACCTCCCTTGGACTTCCTCTGACCTTTGCCAATCTCCCTCCTTCTCCCTCCTTCTCTCTCTCTCTCTCTCTCTCTGTCTCTCTCTCTCTCTCTCTCTCTCTCTCTCTCTCTCTCTCTCTCTCTCTCTCTCTCTCTCTCTGTCTCTGTCTCTGTCTCTCTCTCTGCAGGTGACAGAGTGAATAAGAGCGGAGGGCAGTAGAGGTCTCGCACTTCCTCCTGTCTGGACGGTTCTGTCATGGCCTCCTCCTTGATTAGCCGTCAGTTTGCTCTCTCTCTGCAGAAGAACCTGCATCTCAGTGCTCCAGGTAAATGCAACTCTCCTTAATCCAAATGCTGACGCTGCTGCAAATATATAACTTTACATTAACCTAGCATACGATGTGCATACAATTCCTTTGCATTATGCTGTAGAACTTTTGCTACTTCAGAGATTTTATAGCTTTTATTAAAATTGGTAAGTTAGAAGCCCATGTAATGTTATAATTAGGGCTGTCAGTCGATTCAAATAGTTAATTGCGATTAATCGCAAATTAATCGCACATTTTTTATCTGTTCTAAATGTACCTTAGAGGAATATTTTTCAAGTTTTGAATACTCTTATCAACATATGAGTGGAAAAATATGCTTTATGCTAATGTTTATTATCATTTGAACAATGACAAATATTCTCATGAATATTAAACACAACAACCTGGAACCTCTCTCATACAATACAAATTGTGTGTGTGTGTGTGTGTGTGTGTGTGTGTGTGTGTGTGTGTGTTGTGTGTGTGTGTGTATGTGTGGTGTGTGTGTGTGTGTGTGTGTGCGTGTGCGTGTGCATGTGTGTGTGTGCGTGTGCGTGTGTGTATGTGTATGTGTGTGTGTGTGTGTGTGTGCGTGTGCGTGTGCGTGTGCGTGTGTGTGTGTGTGGTGTGTGTGTGTGTGTGATGGATCGTTGGAGCTATGTGCAACTCAAGGCATATGCTCGAACGGGAGCTGCCTGGACGCTGCAATCATGTTGCACTATCCGTGCTGAGTGTGCTGACTGTTCGTACAATGTCCCACTGTCTGGCTTCCTGCATAAAGTCAAGTGCTCGGCGCAGTTGTGGCGAAATGTCGCTCCTCTGTTTTCATTTAAACATCATCCGTTAGCGCAGCTAGCTAGCACCAGATGCTAACAACAACAATGCACGTAAGGTCTCTCTCTCGCTCGCTCGGGCCACACATACACACACCCTCCCGGTCCTCCCAACAGCCAGTCGGTGCCTGCTGGTGAGCGTGGAAGTGTGGTCTGCCACAAGCGGGCAGCAGGAGCGGGGCTGTCAGCATCAGCTTGTAGATGGTATTTTAAACTCGATGCGCTCTGAAACTACGGGGCGGCCGAGGACAAAAAATACACATGCGTTAATCGCGTTAAAATAATTAGTGGCGTTAATTTCTTTTTTGCGTTAACGCGTTATTAACGCGTTAACTTGACAGCCCTAGTTATAATACTTCTGATCTCCAAAGAAAGTATAAAACCATGTTTCCATGTGAAGTTCGAGTAGCATTATATAACCAGTGTTAATAGTTTGGGGTTATTAATAAATGTGCATGCCTCATGCAGGATGCGGTTATTAGAACATGTGCATGCTCCACAGAGTCTCAAAGGTCCTCTCTCCTGTCAATTATCAATCTGTGTGGGTCACACTGAACTATCACAGAAGTGTTTAGAAACATTTTGAATTTCTTAAAAAGGATTATACAAGTTTCTTTCAGACACAATGGGTAAATGGAATTTCTCGGAAAATAAAGCTACATGCAAACTTTGTGTGAAATCGTTTGACATCTTCACCATGGAGGAGGCGGCATGTTCAAGGTCAAAAGCACTGTACCAAAAATGTAATTACATAACAACTAGCTGTTTGTCGGATGTCAGAAGTCTAGAAAATATTTTTATAGCACCCTCAAGGAGCTGTTCAGGTAGCATTTTATGGAAACATTTTACTCAAAATGGTCACAATCGTATTATGACATGATATAAAAATGAAAAATACGATTCATATATGGGGACTAACAAATGCGTGTTCCACTCCACACACAAACACCAACTGATTTGTACAAGTGTTAAATTGTTTTACAAATGCACACAACAAAACCTGAATAAACATTATTTAACATTGAAAGTTGACATAGATCTGGTTAGATCCACATCAGTAACTGCATTTATTTCCAAAGTATGTAATGTTCAGTTTAAGTTTATCAAAAAACAATTTTAAAATGTGGTTCAAAATGAGGCGAGTGACAGACAATTTTGTAGTGATGTCTGCATCTCTGTATTCCTCTCTGTTTCCTAGTGGATCTTGTCCGCTCCAATATGTCTCCAGACATATAGCGGCGTCATACAGTAGCAGCTAATATCTATAGCTATGGTGTCCCAGTTAAAGAACACCACCTCGCCTATTTTACCCATATATTGACAGGTAAACACCATGTATGCCATGTGTGTGTGATTGTGAGAATGTTTTCTCTGTTTTCAGGGTGTAGATATGTCAGTAAGGCAGCACCAAAGACCCAGGTGGAGTTTGACTACGATGGACCCTCCATGAAAACTTCAGTCCCTGGACCCCGATCAGAAGTAATGGACAGACACACACTTACACTATTTTTCCCCTCACATTTTACACAGTGTGACTAACTCTGTTTTTCTGTAGGAGCTGACAAAACAACTTGGACACATCCAGGTGAGCTGTGTGTGTGTGTGTGTGTGTGTGTGTGTGTGTGTGTGTGTGTGTGTGTGTGTGTGTGTGTGTGTGTGTGTGTGTGTGTGTGTGTGTGTGTGTGTGGTGTGTGTATCTGTGTGTCTGTGTGTCTGTGTCTGTTTAGCTATACATGTGAGGACCATCAATTGAAAAACAACCTGTTTTGTGAGGACATTTTTACAGTGTAGTGCAAGGGTCTAAATGAGTCTGATTTCTACCCACTTACCTGCCACATGTGCCTTTTAAGGATTAGGTTTGCCTATTTCCCTGTTACAATTCCCGCACAATCCTGTATTTTGAATCATAATTTAAATGAAAGCCATCACTTTTAGCAGAGCATTTAAGAGAGGTCTTTGACAGCAACTGCATAAAGCAGTCATTGAAATCAAAATAATCAGAGCCATAACTGCTCGTAAAGGCACAGGGTTAAGTTCAGAGGAATGGATTCCAGATGCCGATAGCTCCATGAACTGCACATAATTTGCAGCCACTATCTACCGCATCTCAAGGTCCAGTTCACAAAGGATGTGTTTGTACTGGGATGATGTTATAACGTGCTATGTGGCAAAGACTAAATGTACCTCTGTGTCGGTTGTAAGGTTTAACACTCAGTCAAGGGACTGGCCTCTTCTACCCAAACCTCCTGAAAGTTATTAAGAGAGAGAAAAGGAAAAACTGAAAGCCCAGAATAAATCACTGTAACCGTGTGTGCCCAAAAAGCACAGATTTATGCAAATTGGACTGTTTTTGCAGTGAGAATCATTTGCATGGAAATGGGTCCATTTTGAGCCAAATATATTCACATTACTTAATTTTGGACTCGCAAATAGTGGAGGAGCACTGTGATGCTACACTGAACAAAAATATAAATGCAACACTTTTGTTTTTGCTCCCATTTTTCATGAGATGAACTCAAAGATCTAAAACATTTTCTACATACACAAAATAACCATTTATCTCAAATATTGTTCACAAATCTGAAAAAATCTGTGATAGTGGCCCATGGTGGTGGTGGGGTTATGGTATGGGCAGGCGTATGTTATGGACAACGAACACAGGCCACTCGATTCACAACATTACCCTACCCCTACCCCTACCCCTCACACCAGATACTGACTGGTTTTCGGACCCCCCCAGACCCCCCCAATAAAGCAAAAATGCACGTTTCAGAGTGGCCTTTTATTGTGGCCAGCCTAAGGCACACCTGTGCAATAATCATGCTTTCTAATCAGCATCTTGATATGCCACACCTGTGAGGTGGGATGGATTATCTCGGCAAAGGAGAAGTGCTCACTATCACAGATTTTTTCAGATTTGTGAACAATATTTGAGAGAAATGGTTATTTTGTGTTTATAGAAAATGTTTTAGATCTTTGAGTTCATCTCATGAAAAATGGGAGCAAAAACAAAAGTGTTGCGTTTATATTTGTGTTCAGTGTATTTACTTGACAGCACACTTGGGGGTGCTTTCTCAGGTGCTTTGAGGTAACCCGATTACTTTAGATATCATCTGTCTGTGATTATTGTTTTAGTCAGCTACCACGTTAATACAGGAGGACTTCTGTTTTGCTCATGCTGTTCTTAATACAGAACATGTCTCTTCCCAGAATGTTGGTGCAATCAACTTCTTCTGTAACTACGAGGAGAGCAGGGGGAACTATCTGGTGGATGTGGACGGCAACCGCATGCTTGATATCTACACTCAGATCTCCTCCATCCCTATTGGTTAGTATTAAAATACATCTATAACAGAATAAACAAATCTCAGGAAATATCCTCTGCAGATACTGTAAGTCTTTGAAAGTTAAGTCTGTAAATTATTTTCAAATTGAGCGAGGCCCTCGATCTCCTCAGAGATCTGAGCCCACGTCCCAACCAGTCCTCAGGACATTCCTACCAGCGACTGACTATCACACATCAGAGAAATATGCTATATGCCATTTGAGTTCTATTTTTGTATTTCCAGAAATCTGCAGAAGTTACAATCATATTTGTGTGTAGCATTTTTGCAAACAACAACAGCCAAGACAAAAGGCGTAAGAGGAAGAAGAATCATCTTCGAGATGCCCTGAGCAGAACGTAAGCATTGGGAGTCGGGCCAATCCAGGCGTAGCTGATCAAATCTAATCATCACTTCACTGAACTATGCTGTGTGTTCTCCAGCTCCCAGTGCAACACCACTACTGTGCACACATTCCACTGCAGGGAAGGATTCATCTGTGTTTATGTCACACCTTTACCACTTAGTTGAGCAACACTTTTTCTTAATCATTCTATCACTAAGTAATTGTAAGTAGAGTGTAATGTAAAGAAGCTAGTGTTGCTGTTTTTAGCTCTAATGAATGGGTAAATGCAAGAGTTCTGAGGGCAGGCTTCCCAAATATTAAGCATAGGTGACTCAGGGTGCAAGCTAGATTCAATGTAAATGATTTGACATCTCCTACATGGGAGAGGCTGTAATGGTTAACCACAGGCAAGGGCAAAAACAGAGCAGTCCTTTCCCAGGATCCTTTGCACCCAGTCACACAATCACAGCTGATTTAATATTCTTCGTAATAAAACAAGACAAATGTGAAGGCTTGGAAGGAGCTCTGTTGCTCTCTGTGACTGGATATGAGAGCAGTGCTCCTGGTTTCTCGCTGCAGTCTTCCGGTCTGATTCACGTTGTGCTCCAGGCTCAGGGCCCCCTCTCAGAAGGCTTTTGTTGTAGCCAAGAACTCACACACCTCATTCATTCAGTGTTTGAAAGGGCATGAACACTGGGGTTTGCAACTATTAGGCCTACTTACTTCCCAGAATGCATAATAAATACATTTATTTGAGATGTTATCAGGCCAAAGGTCCCCTAGTATTCAAAATCTACTCTTTCATGTATTTTATACATAAACATGTGTCCCCTCTGTGTAAAGAGACTCTGAAAGTTTAAGGGACAAAGACCATTAGCCAATCACCAACCAATGTAACACCCACATTATCCCCTGAATCTCCTCCTAGAGCACCATTGTGTTTTTTTAAACCAATCATCTCACAGAGGGGCGTGGCCAGCCGCAGCTCTTTAGCATTTAAAGCTTGTGTTTTTTTACATGGATGGGTGTATAGATGTTTTTAAAGGATGATGGTATTTGTAGGTTACATAACAAGATTGACATGAAAGTGGAGATGTCGAGAGAGAATGGATGTCTTGTTTTTCTTATTATTACTACTACTACTACTATTATTACTACTACTATTATTATTACTATGGCCTAGAGATTTGCCCTACAGCGTTCAGATGATCTACATGCCCTCTCTCTCTCTCCTCTCCCCTCTCTCTCCCTCTCTCTCTCTCTCTCCTCTCTCTCTCTCTCATCTCCTCTCCTCTCTCTCTACTCTCGTCCTCTCTCTCTCTCGTCTCTCTCTCCCTCTCTCTCTTCTCCTCTCTCTTCTCTCTCTCTCTCTCTCTCTCTCTCTCTCTCATCGATCTCTCTCGTCCATCTCGTCGTCTCTCTCTCCCGATCCGTCTCCATCCTGCCTCCCTCTCTCTCTCTCTCTGGAATCTGGAGAAGTGGGAGATAGTGTTGGTCCACTCTGATATCTGTTCCTGTTTGATATGGAGGGGCAGACCTGGCATAAGTTTATATACTTGTATTACTCTCAATAACAAACAGTGAATTGAACCCCAAGGAGGAATGCAGTTATAGAGAACAGTGAGGAAGTGAGAGTATGGAAGCAGAACGCTGCTCTCTGCTGGGGGGGGACAGGCCTGCAGTTTATGTAAGCTGGCCACTTCAGTTAAGGTAACATTCAAGATGCAAAGCTTTATTGTCATATCAAAATAAAATAAAAGACACACATTAGCATCGCCATTTTGCTCTGCACACTCACAACTGTAATCTAACATGTCATTTCTCAAAGGTATAATTTGGCACGTGTGTGGAAAAATATCTGCGTGCTGATACATTCCTCCGACAAGGAACTCATCTTCTAAATCCAAACATCAAACATTTGAATCCCCATAATTCAGTCAAGTACTCTTAAATCACAAAAGCACTGAACAATTGGAAGGCTCTACTCTGATCAAAAAATAAAGTACTATAATACTACCATCACATATCATGTGAGTGTCAATCAAGAGACAATTGGCTTTAATGTTAACACAGGGATTCATTAAGAGATCAAACCAGCAACTCAGGCCAAAAAACATACTTGGCAATGTCTGAAACATTCCAACAGTTAATAAGTGGGTTGAGTCTCAGTTATAGTCGGACACTACAACATCCAACGGCTCAAGGTCATAGATTTGTGTTTCCTTAACCAGCCAGTTAAAAGATGCTTAATATCACATCAGAAATCCACCCTGTCCTTATCTGTGACCAGGCTCATGTTTTGCTCACCTGAAAAAGAACCCATTTGCATGAAAACAATTCAACTTTTTAACAAATCTCTCCTTAGAGTTTGGACAGTTTATTAAAGGGGGGCTCTGCTGGTTCCATTTAACAGAACTGTCGATAAACTGCAGACTATCCATGCCTCTGTAAACATAAAACCAAAAGTTATTATTGTAAGTGTTCCATTCTTTGTAATGTAAAGAATGAACACCGATATCTGATGACTTTTAGTAGCTTATCTATAGGACTGTCTTAAGCTTTTTGATCCAAACACGATGACTATAAGCAGTTTCCACTGTAGAAATATGTCTGAAAATACTTGGCAAATTAGATCAAAACAAATGAAGAGAAGAAAACCATTTCAGTAAGCCTCCCTGTAAACTCCCTGATCACTGTCTGCTGAGAACAGCACCACCAATAACTGAAGCAGGAAAAGGCCTGAAGAAAAGTGAACTGGAAATGTATTTTCACCACACTCCTACATTCAAAATGTGTTTGTTATTAAGCTGGATTAGTGTTCTAACATATTATCTGCGGCCACAGTATGCACTTTGACATCACAAAATGTTTCACTAACAGCCAACAACCCTAAAGGCTGTCTGTCTCAGGGTTGAGGGGACTTTAGATCTGTTTAGAATCTCAAGCAACATAACAAGAGGCCCTGGTGAATTTGTGTTTGTGAATGCCTCCAGCCTGTGGACAGCTACGAATAATCAATTCAAACGTTTTTTCAGTAAAATATTTTCTCTTCTCCTTCTATCCCACCCCCACCTTATTCTGTCCTCTCCCAGGCTACAACCACCCCGACCTCCTCAAACTGATGTCCAACCCCAACAATCTGGTAGGTCCTCTCTGTAATTAGCATATTTTCAGTCAAACTGCAGCGAGAGTGTGGAAGGGTTCCATTTAACGAGAGCAGCCATTTTGTCCTCATCCTTTGTTACATTTCAATGCTTCTGCTTTGGACTGTTCACAGCCTCAGTACTTCTCCAGGTTAAAGGGGACCTATCATAGAAAATGCACTTTGTGATGTCTTTCATACATAAATATGTGTCCTCGGTGTGTCGGGGAACTCACATTTCAGAAAATAAAACCCTCTCTCTTTTCCTCCGAACCCAAATCTTTTAAAAAACGGGGCTACAACGAGCAGATACAGATTTGCTGCCGATCTGACGTCAAATCGGAATCAGAAACAATGCCTGACATGTTTTGGACGTAATCTGGTTTTTGTTTACATTAGCAAGCCTCGCTAACACTCAGAGCTAACCTGTACTGGAGAGCACATGTGTTTAAAAAGCAGGAAGTAAAAAAAGAACTCACCTTGTGCTAAACCCGCTAGAGAAAAAGCATTTGAGCTCCATACTGTTTCAGAAATAATCCTTGATGTGGTTTAGAACAGGGTGGCGTTTTATCACAGCAGAATTTAACTTTATCTCCGGTATAATTCTGATCAGGCATTAGCTCCGCCTCCTCTTTTTTATTTTTGTATCTAAGGACCCAAAATCCACGTTTATCTAACAGGGCTGCAAAAGAGGGGTATGAGCAGTATGAGGCATGGCTACAATGGGTGATCCGTTTGGTATTTTAAGCAAAAAACTTCACAGACATGTTTTGTATAGGTATGGCCCTACAATATATTTTTCCAATATAGCATGACAGGTCCACTTTAAGTTAGGCCGTGCAACACCAAGCCCCCATCTAAACAGAGGTCTTAATGTGCTATGAGGACTCTGCTCTGACACATGGGGAAACAATGGTTCATGCAATGGATACCACTCAGAACATGGGGATATTTCAGAATCTTACAATAGAGTTATAATTGAATAATCAACAATAGAGTGGACTGCATTACACTCTAGAGCAGTGTGATCTGACTGAATTTTTCACAACGGTTTCTCTCTTTCTCTCTTTCTCTCAGAGCACGCTCGTGAACCGACCCGCCCTAGGTATCCTGCCGCCGGAGAACTTTCCAGAGAAACTAACCGAAAGCCTCGTCTCAGTGAGCAATACACATACACACACACTCACACATAACGTTTTTCTGAATTTAAATTACTGAAAAGAGCAGATACATTTGTTATTAGCTCTGTTATTATGGTTTCATGCATCTTTTGTTGGTTAAGCCGGTTGAGGGCTATAATGTGTCCCCCTCCTGTCAGGTGGCCCCCAGTGGGATGACTCGAGTTCAGACCATGGCCTGCGGATCCTGCTCCAATGAGAACGCTTACAAAGCAATGTTCATCTGGTACAGGGTGAGTACGCATCCCAACTTTTGAACTGTGTTCAGAAGTTTCCAGCTGCCTCTCTGCAGCGCTCAGACTCCTGTGAGGGGCACAGTGAGAACATGTGACCACAGAGTGAGGCAGAGTGACACACTTTAAGAAAATCAGTCTGTTCTACAAAAGACTGACAAAAATTAGACACACGTCTCCCTGGCGATAACAAGGAAACTGAGCTGTCTGGGTAATTGAGTGAAAAATAAGAAGGTATTTATAATCTCAGCAGCTAAATGTCCATGTAGCTTCACCTGTGTGTTTGCTTCTGCCACAGAACAAGGAGCGGGGCCACAACACCCCGTCTGAGGAGGACCTCAGCTCCTGCATTATCAACCAGGTGGGGGAACACTTTTTTTTACATTTCATATTAAAGTATGAAATGTTTGCATCTTCTGGTATCGTGTCTCTTACCTCTCTGTTTGTCTCTCAGTCCCCAGGCTGTCCAGAACTCAGTATTTTATCTTTCATGGGGGGTTTCCATGGAAGAACCATGGGTATGTGAATTAAGCCTTTTATACACACACCTGATGGTTGCTGTTCTCCAACAGTGTTTTGAGGTGCTCCAGTAATCCAGCTCACACTGTCCGCTCCAGCAGCGAGCCCCACAACGTCCCCCCAACACGGCACCCAGACCCCACGCAGCATTCTCATCTGTTTGTCATTACTGGTGTCATTTTCTGGTTGCTAACAAACGCCATTGTAAAACATAATCACTGATGTTCCGCTGTAACCGTGGTGGACTCATCAGAACAGGGCGAGCTGACCAATCAGAGCACAGTGGGCTCATAGGGAGGGGGGGGGGGGGGGGCAGGAGCTCCAACAAAGCGTGTAGGACAGAGAGTGAATACACATACTATACAGAGATGCTGTTTGAGAAACCAATGTGAGTTTGGAACATTGAACAATATAAATCTATTCTAGTAGACCTCAACAATGGAATTATGATCAGTAGAAATGACATTAAGATTATGGCTATTAGTTTTTCTTTTAGATTTTTTAGCTTCCAAACTGAATTAAAATATTTGTCTTATATTTGTGACATCTATCTGTGAGAAATATTTAGTTTTCACTTTCGAATTTATTGATTTAATATCAAGGAATCTTCAGTATTTCTTCTCATAAATTACGTTAATGCCGGTTTTCCTTTGAATATTTCCTCCCCACTGGTTCTCTATATATGTGTATTTCACATCAATAATGCTTCTGGTTTTGAAACAGCAGTGATCAGAGCACACACATGTGCAGACAGGGTACAGGTGTGGTTTCAGCCTCACTTTATATGATTGTTTTCTTTCTTGCTGGCATATTCAACAAATAACAGCTTCACACACTTTGTAAAGCAAGGTTCACAGTCATGTTCAAGAGTTGATGTCACCCATTGAAGGGGGCAGGAGAGGAAAATCAGTGTCAGGGTGTGCAAGCTCTGATTTGCCTTATGCAAATATCCAAAAATATACATATGTAAAACATAATCTGCATATTTCCATACTGTGGGGAATTGTTTCTACCAGCATATCTGGAACTAGCAAAACAGGAACACACTTGATCTTGATGTCTGGTGCTGTATACTAATATTCTCGGCTGTACACTGAGGGTCACTGCAATAGTGACCCTCAGTGTACAAGCTATTCTTCTGATTATGGTGAGACCTTCCTTTAAAAACATGTGACAGCTTCCACAGACTGTCCCTCAGAGTCACTAACGTCACAATGTCACCAAGTAGAAAATACATCATTTAGCAACCGGATCATGAGGATACAAGGCCCCGGATATGATGATTAACTCCAACAATATTTATATATATCACAATATCAGCTCACAGGTGTACTTGTAGCTTCTTCAGAGCTTTCAACCATATTTCTCAGGGTGATTTTAAAGAATGGAGCTGGGTAAAGTGACCATCACTCCATCAGGCCCTGTAATACTCACCTTTGTTGACGCTCAGAAATAATCTGAAATGTGTTTTAGTCAATTCTCCTTTGGCTGACTTTTCTATGGGTTGTAAACTAAACCCCACACTTCCTGTAGATGTTTCACATTAAAAGGGATGAGAGGATTTTGCTCTATAGATGTATCATTGCTAGTTATATACTTGGAGCACACCTGAAACACTCACATTATACATGCATTCAAATGAAAAGGTGGAGTTATTATTGCAGCATCATAGATTCATGAATAACACTATGATTTTACCTTGTTAAGGTTGCTTGGCAACGACCCACTCCAAAGCAATCCACAAGCTGGATGTGCCGTCATTTGATTGGCCGATCGCTCCGTTTCCTAGGCTACAATACCCGCTGGAAGAATTTACCAGAGAGAACGCACAGGAAGAGGCTCGCTGTCTGGAGGAGGTGTGTGTGTGTGTGTGTGTGTGTGTGTGTGTGTGTGTGTGTGTGTGTGTGTGTGTGTGTGTGTGTGTGTGTGTGTGTGTGTGTGTGTGTGTGTGTGTGTGTGTGTGTGTGTGTGTGTGTGTGTGTGTGTGTGTGTGTGTGTGTGTGTGTGTGTGTGTGTTTAAATCATATATACATTCTCCATAAAGAACACATTTGTTACAAGGCCGTGTTAAAAAAGGCAACTTTCATTTAAATGTTAGAAAATGTTATTCACATAAATATCTCAGTACTTTATTTCAATCTGTAAAAGAAAAAAAATCATACCAAATAGCGTACCAACTCATATAAAATGCTGCTGCTCTCTGCTCACCACTTATAGATGCAATCGCAACTAGCTTTAAAAAAAAAAGTGATGTTGAGCAGTGATATCTGTGGAAGGAGACATTAGAAAGCTACATTACTTTAGGTTGACAGTACAGTGTGTGGAGCAGTGTTCCATGCATGCTTATTTTCATTAAATATATGTTTATCAGGACATAGTGATATAGCTTTGTGCAGTTACTAGCCTGTTTAAATATGATTTGTTTTTGAATGAATGTCATCTGGCCTTATGTCAAATGAAGACAGGAAAAGGAGCAGCTTGTCTCCTTTGATTTCTCATTATAATCAACGTGTGTATTCACTTGAAACTATATGACGTAAAGCTGTCATATATATATACTCAAACTGGATCTGACAGAAGTGCATGACACAGATCTCTGACAGGTAACTGCCCCCTCCTGGTGCTCCATTGCTATGCACAAGTTTCCAGGTTTAGTGTGTCTGGCCAACAGTTAAAAAAACGGTTCAAATCCAAAGACAACTATGTCCAACTTTGAAATGTGTTCTGTCCACCAACATTACAATCAACAAATAAGTTCAGCACCACTCCAGGGATTGTGTCTTATAAGGCCATCACATCAAATCACGGTTAACTGTATTTGTTCTACTATCTAATGCCGGCTTATTTATATTTTGCGATGTTTATATTTTAGAATAGTTTATTTCTACTCTTTTAAATTGTTTTTAAATGCTGTTGTTGTTTTTTTATGCTGTTGCAATGAAAATATTTCCCAATTCGGGATCAATAAAGTACATTTTATCTTATCTTATGTATGGCCAATATGCATACACACGTTACATGTATAAGGTGATGCTTGATAAATGTATATAAAATGTATAATCATATAATAATAATATTAAAGGTGGAGGATCTGATCGTGAAGTGGAGGCAGAAGGGGAAGCCTGTGGCTGGGGTTGTGATCGAACCCATCCAGGCTGAAGGTGGAGATAACCATGCCTCTTCTGACTTCTTCAGGGGACTCCGCGACATCGCACGCAAGGTAACAAACACTCATCACTATAGCAACAGATCTCTAAAGGACTTGCCTTGTGACTGTGATAGTTGAGCTTCTTATGACTGACACTTTAAGAGATGTATCCAGATGTTTCCATGAAGGCAAATATTCAAGATCTCTAAAACTTCTTAAAGCCCCCATTTAGAGACAAACACTGAGACTAAATATAATCTAAGTAAGGGATAATGTGCAGCGAGGTGGTCATTATTGAAAAAAGAACACCCAACAGGTCGAAGTCTTTGTAACAGTCCAAGTCTGTTCACAGTTTCTGTTCCACTAACAAGTCCTTAAACTCTGAAGAGCCCAAACTATTTCAAGGGTGCTACGTCATCGAGTCCCGCCGAAGGACAGTTCCAATGTCCAGGATCCTTGGAATTCTACTGAGCCCGGCGTCCTTCATTGCGGGAAATTTCGAGGCTGCACATGTGTATCCTCCGCGGTCTTAAAATCCCCACAATGCTTTGCGCACGGACCAATTTCCCAAATCTTTGGCGGAAATCGCGCTCCATTTAAGCCTGTTCCACCATTCTTCGTTTTCCGAGGCTAGGAAGGATTCTTGCCTCGCTTCTGAAGGACCTGACTCGGATGTCCTACCAAGGAAGCGTCCTTGACATTGAGAAACACCCTGGCTGCATCTCAGGTCGGTTAAATGGAATCCTTGCTTCCCTCACTTGCGTCGTTTCCCTGTGACTAGTCCCTCCCACCAGGGAAGCATGGAGAGACGCAAGGAAACCACGAGAAGCAGGGAAATGAGTTTTAAGAGCAATGGGACGTCCTTTCCTCCGGAGCTGATCGTCTGACAGCAGCTCTGTCCCGTTGTTTTCACAAACACCCCCGCCTCTGTTAGCACACATTTACTGACACAAACATTTGTATCATCTGTTGTAGACCCCAATAAATAAAATAAAATAAGAACTCATTCTCAAAAAAGATAAACGCCATTCTTAAAATGTATAAACGAACATTAGTTTGATTAATATTGATTACACAAAATAAATAATTGAGAGAAGAAAAAGAGATATGTTATCTATCAAAACCCAGTTAGATTAACATTCATTGGATTGCACACTTTGTTTGTTTGTTTGTTTGTTTGTTTGTTTGTTTGTTTGGATATGTAGCACATTAACATTGTAATAGCACTTAATGACTGACTGAATGGAAATGACAATAAATGAAAATGTAAAACGAAAAAAGCGATCATGAAAATGTTTCCAATAAATGAATAAAATGATTTTTGACCACTTTGTTGTTCAGATATATCACATATTTGTAACTAAATGAAACATGAATTGAAACAAAACACGGTATAAACTGAGGAGTGACTCCCGTGAGGTTCATGTATTTTCTTCACTCCGCTGGGAAACTGCTCTCATGTCAAGAAGCATCAGATCAGTGCATGCGCTGCATCGTCCAATCAGTGAGCGATACACAGTAAGGGGGCGGGGCGAGTGTCTGAGGATTTCACCGGAGGATGGTCTGGTGGTTCCTCCATTATCGCTCCTCGGTCCTCCGGCAGAAATAATGGGACGCTACTCAAGATGGCGCAGACAAATCAACTTCCGGTGAGACGAGGACCGAGGAAAAAGAAAATAACCGGCCTGAGATGCAGCCCCTGTGTTCCTGTTAGTGATTATTTCCTGTCTGTCTTCTTCTGCTGTTCCTGTTAGTGTCTACTTCCTGTCTGTCTTCTTCTACTGTTCCTGTTAGTGTCTACTTCCTGTCTGTCTTCTTCTGCTGTTCCTGTTAGTGTTTACTTCCTGTCTGTCTTCTTCTACTGTTCCTGTTAGTGGTTACTTCCTGTCTGTCTTCTTCTGCTGTTCCTGTTAGTGGTTACTTCCTGTCTGTCTTCTTCTGCTGTTCCTGTTAGTGTTTACTTCCTGTCTGTCTTCCTCTGCTGTTCCCGTTAGTGTGAACTTCCTGTCTGTCTTCTTCTGCTGTTCCCGTTAGTGGTTACTTCCTGTCTGTCTTCTTCTGCTGTTCCTGTTAGTGTTTACTTCCTGTCTGTCTTCCTCTGCTGTTCCCATTAGTGTGAACTTCCTGTCTGTCTTCTTCTGCTGTTCCCGTTAGTGTTTACTTCCTGTCTGTCTTCTTCTGCTGTTCCCGTTAGTGTTTACTTCCTGTCTGTCTTCCTCTGCTGTTCCCGTTAGTGTTTACTTCCTGTCTGTCTTCCTCTAGCGATTTCTCTGAAGTCCAACGCTCTGTCTTTTAACTTATCTCCTTCTGGTCATCGATCGTCCTTAGCGACGGTCATTATTTTGTCTGTTATCAAATGTCCAAATCAGAATCGAGTATTTAGCCAAGCCGTGTAATAATGAGTATTAAATGTATTCAGAGGAAACCATGTCCTGTCTCACGGGGCCTTCGCCACAGCTCAGTCTGTTCACCTTCTGTCTCTCTAGCAAGGCTGTGCTTTCCACGTGGATGAAGTGCAGACAGGGGGGGGGACCACAGGGAAGATGTGGGCCCATGAGCATTGGGGCATGGAGGACCCAGCTGACATTGTGTCCTTCAGTAAGAAGCTTCTGACGGGGGGCTACTACCACAAGGACGAGTTCCAGGTGGATGAGGTTTGTGTTTTTTTGTTCTCCAGGGACATTCAGACCACATATTAAAGAGGTTTTATATTCTGTGATTCAGATCTGATTAAGTAAAACAGACTTAAGCTCTGTTGAAAGGGGGAGCAGCAGGGAGAACTCAATGAGTCACCTCAAGGGCAGCGCCTTTTGGTAAATGATCCCACTGAGGAGAGAGGAGGGGGAGAAATCGTTATATTTGTATACTTGTAGTTTATAATACTAGGAAAGATTATATCCAAGCCCTTCATTCTCCTCTCTACACTTGAGACCCCTGAGGATGAATTATTCACCATGAATCTGTCGGACAAACCTCTTGATGATCCAGCTAATCTTGGAGTTTCTCCACTTTTGAGGCTAAACATGTCAAGTTGGTGCTCAGGGTGCTAAGGTCCCTGGGGGGTCATTTATAAAAACAAAGGGTTAATCATCAAAGGAGCCTGAATGTGCTGAGTCAGTGTTTTCCACAAACTATCCACAGCTATCCAGTCACTACTGTGGTTCCTTAGTTTACACCAGAGAGGATGGTCAGAGGCTCACAGGGAAATGAAACAGGAAACTGTCTAAATAGTTGTATTGAATTGCATTTTATTCAATCTAATTTACATATTTCTGAATACAATGCAGTCTATGTGTGTGTGTAGCATGCATGGGCTCACAATTGGTCAACCCTGTGATGTAAACTACTAATGAATGAATGAATAGCATTTATTTAGCTGTAGGTGTCTGTCCATCACAGTCTGGACAATTATTGTTTCTTTTTGCACACTGCTAAAAAACAGCACACATAAAATGTACATTTTGGATGTTTTTAGAACCTTGTGTTTTTGTCACGTTTAGATATTCAAAGCTGTTTATAGGATCATTGGTCATTTTACATTAACTGGAGTTTTTCTTCTGTATCTGTTATCTCTTTTCAGCCATACCGTATCTTTAACACATGGATGGGCGACCCTTCCAAGAATCTGATCCTGTCTGAGGTTCTCAATGTGATCCGCAGAGAGAACCTTCTGGAGGAGGTGAACCGCTCTGGGAGGGCGCTGATGAACGGCCTCTTTGAGCTACAGGTACTGCGTGTTTGTTTGTAAAGGTTCTGACTTTTCAAGTTCAGGTGACCCACACAATTCACCAGCATGCATTATTTGGTGAATGTGTTTTTCACCTGCTCTATTTCACCGCCCAATATCAAGAATTACACAATTGCCTTAGGGGGGCTTAAGCCATTTTTTGTCAGTTGATCGAGGAAAAACAACTTAGGAAAATGGACTAAGGAGATATTTAAAGTTAGCCAGTCTAAAGCAGCTAAAGGGTGAAACATGATCATATGTTGTAGTTCTTGTCAACGCGTTTGCCAGTCTTCACAAAGCCACAAAGTATTGTGTTGGGAGCAGTGGCGGCTGGTGGAAAATATCTTTGGTGGGACTATGGAAATGCTGACCAAACCATACTAGGCGGGTCCGGGGGGATGCTCCCCCGGAAGACATTTTTGAGAAATGACCCCTTAAATTATGACTTCTGGTGATGTTAGAGGGGGGGGGGGGAAATATTACATATATAATAATAATAATAATAGTAGTAATAATAATAATAATAAGAATTTAGTTGAAATAAAATAAATTGTAATTGTGGTTAAATAACATTGTCTGCTGCATTTATTTGGTCAATTTAAACGGTAAGTAACGTTATTATGTCAGGTGCGCGCGACCTGTGCCGCTGCGCGTTCGTCATCTGCAAGGTGCTTACACAGCAGTCAATGATGGACATCAGAAAATGGTTAAAACAACCAGCCCTTATCGCCAGCAGTAACACTGCATCTACTGCAGGTAATAACAGTTCAGATCATGGGGACATTACGTTACCCGCGGCCACTGTCATGGACACTAACGCCCGACTTGCCGGCTTTGCCCGCCTCGCCCATGGAGGCGGAGCAGCCGCAGCCATCTTCGTTGCCCCAAACACCGCCACCCCTCAGCGGCCCGCAAGTGCCAGAGGACCTCAGCAAAACAGAGCCTGCCCAGGTATCAGAGGTCGCGTTGACCGAATATTTTCCGTCTATGACGGATTTTTTTTAACAATGACGGACAAATCTGAAAGCAGTCCGTCATTTTGACAGATTAGAACAAACTCAGAACAGCGCCAAAGTTTCCCCGCAGCGAGGCTCCGGTGTTATGCCGTGTTATGCATGCCCTCCAAAAAGGAAATTATACCGTTTCCAAACCTAACTGTGCCGTACAAATCATTGAAATGTCTGTGAGTTTTGGCTTTACGCTGTGCACGCTCCCGCGAGGTGCAGCAGCCATGCATAACACGGCACATGTGAACTGTTCCCCCCCACCGTTGACAGTTCACGAGCATGCTTCTCCCCCAACCCCCCTCCATCAGAGTTGTGTAAAGGCCGACGGGTAATTCTGGATTTTGACGGAAGATTTACGATCCTGCCCGTCAAAATGACGGGCAGCGAAAAAGTCTAGCGCAACCTCTGCCAGGTATATTTTAAAAAGTACCCAACTCGCCTGTACAGTGGGGTAAGGCGCTCATTTTGCAGCTCATGGTTTCAAAACAGAGATTGGCTGAATATTCATGTAAAAAAGATGCCATCTTCTGCTATGCCTGTAGACATTTCGGTTTAAGTAAGTCAGATGCCTTCACCACAACTGGCTACAACAACTGGCGCCATGCTCTTATAGGCTACGTGATAAGGGACTGGGAAGGCATGAATCAAGCAAAGAGCACATCGATCCATAGATCTCTTCATTTTGCTCTCAAAGTGCACCAGATTGATGCTTTTAACTTCAATATTTTAAAAAAAAATCTTCCCGGGGGAACATGGCCCCGGACCCCCCTAGAGGAGATGAGGACCCTCCTAGAGGAGGTGAGGACCCCCCTAGAGGGTGTTAGGTCCACTCCCCACTTATAGAAATAGCACTTTACCACTGCACCCTCTCTAATCTCAGATGCACCCTGAGTCATTTTGTTCTGGAACCGGGCCTGGATTTATCAGTAACTTTAGACATCGTAAAACAATTTTAAACGAGATTTTATTGTAGATTATACATTTTACTGATACCAACTATATAATATTTACCTTGTTCATTAAAAATTAAAAATTAAAAATATTTTTAAAATATATATATATATATATTTTTTTTAATGACAGTCAAACATGTGGGAAGAGGGGGGGCGGCGCCCCTAGCGCCCCTATGGGCCGGCCGCCACTGGTTGGGAGTGTCAGGCCTTGTGGGGATATCATGATATACCGTGTGGCTTTATGAATTTTGTCAACCCTATGTGAAATGATTAAGAACACTGAGTGTTTGGTTGGGTTTTTTTAAGCCAACAAGTGATGATAGCTCTGTCTCTGTGTCAGTCTGAACAGCTGATCACACCCTGGTCTATTTTACATGACAAATTGTTATTATAGGTGTTAATGTAGCCTCACTGTTAGGCATTTTGTATTGATTCTATTAATCAATTTACATTTACATTTGTTTGCAGGGATATAATATTGAGTCATTACAACCAAATATGTTGTTATATATAACACATTTAAATAAATTGTAACTATGTTCAGAATTAGCTTTCACAGTAATACAAATAAATGGGAATATTGATAAGGAGTGTTGAAATGTGTAGCAGTGAGGATCAAATTAATTCCCATTCCTAACATTCACAGATGCTCCTATTTATACAGTGCTACTGTAGCCACTCAAATATCTCTAGGTATGATATAATACTGTTTATTAACCAATATGAATATATTGAATGTTATTTGCTCATGACCAGGATTACTGTGACTAATTGTGGTAATGCTTGGTGTGTTGATGGCCTACATGTGTGTGAACATGACCTACATGTGTGTGAACATGACCTACATGGTGTGCTCCCCAGGCTCAGTACCCCGGCATGTTGAGCCGCGCCCGAGGAGTGGGCACCTTCTGTGCCATAGATATCTGTGATGACAAAACACGTAACCGCATCCTGATCACGGCCAGAGACAAAGGTATGAAGTAAAGAACCTTTCATCTTTCCTTTCTGTGACACGGGAATCCAAACTCTGACATGTGAGAATGTGAGAACACAGTCATTGGAATATGGGACAATGGCATTCTTCCTCATGTCACCCTTTTAGCTCACACACCTGGAATGTATATATGTTATGTATAAAATAATTAATAAATGTATAATGTTTATTTACAGTGAAACTAAATCCAAATTCCATACTTGCCATCTTCATTTGACAAATGTATCCAAGTGTGCAGCAAAAGCACAATAAATGAGAGGCTCATTTAAAAAATAATTTGAAATCTCCACTGGTTAGTTTGAAATGCATGCTAAAGTAATGGCCCCATTCCAATCCCACCCCCTTCCCTCTCTCTGATTCCATTTCTTTTTTTGCGCAGTCAAATTCAGGGTTTGCTGCATTAAGTGCCTCTGGTAGGAATCATTTAGAAATGTTATTCTGACATACAGATATAAACAACTTCAAGGTTTCATTTGGTACACATTTTTAGTCACACCGGTATCTTTTTACAGCTAAACTCAATGTGTAAGTGACCCTGTCAAATGGACAATTTAACATCATGTTTTATTGATGTGTAAAATTGACCAAAATAAGTTTGGTGTTTTAAAGGGATAGTTTGAATATTTCTGAAGTGTGGTGTCATGAAACACTTCTGTAGTTAAGAGTTAAGGCACCAAAGCAAAGCAATGTAGTCAGTGTTCGAATTACCCATTTGCTTTCAGGGGAGCCCTATTTTTCAGTGCATATCCTGCTACTAAATATGTCACACGCACGCTCTGTTGACTGGCGCAGCAGCACGGATTCGATCAATTGCTATAAAATCACTCTGCTACTACTACAGACAGCGGCTGTAGCCGTTGTTGAAGCCTCTTCAGGCTCCGCATCGGCAGGCCTCTCCCTCGGTGTGGAGCTGTCAAACTCGACCCTAACGCCACTTACAGCCGGCCAACTAAAAGTTGTTCCGTTCACGTTGTCATTTTTAGACTCCTTCGCTTCTTAGCTTGTGAATCCAAAAGCTGCGAGGCTTGGCTGTTTTTGTTTCGCCATATTTTTTATTACAAAGCCAGAGTTGAAAAATTTCAATATGAACATTTCAAATACGGTGCCGGCAAACTATAGTAGCCATAGCAACGTAAGTAGCGTAAAGAATGCAGCGCCGCCACGTACAGATGGCAACACCCAGAAATATTCACGAATATAAAACAAATGTTCAGAAACTGTAATGAACAATGACTATTATTTATTTCAATAACTTTTATTTACAGAAACTCAACATTTCTAATCTGTGTGACACAAATATGCACAATTATTTTGGGCTCCCTCTATTTATCTCAAAGTTGGCCTTCAGGAGAGCTCCCCCCTCTTTAGGGGAGCCAAGCTCCCCCTGGCTCCCCCCCCCAGTTCGAACAGTGAATGTAGTGTTGTAGTGTTGTGTTCTCCAAACATGCGGAGTACCATCCCACTCCCGAACATCACCCTTTAACCTCTAACGTTGACCTGAAGGTGGATGACAGATTACTGATTGAACTGTGTGGATATATTGTGTCTGTGGTTGACAGGTATCCTCCTTGGGGGGTGTGGGGATCGATCGATCCGTTTCCGTCCAGCGCTGGTTTTCAAGGAGTACCATGTTCACCTCTTCCTCAATATCTTCAACGACGTACTGGCCCAGCTCAAGTAAATCCGGACCCTGAAGGAACCTGACTCGCAGTGCATGAGCTTGAGTGAATCCAGAGTGAAGGAAAATAAACTGCAGACAGTCTGTGTCATGATAAGCACAATCCACACAGTAACACACACAAATATCCCATATAGCCTCTGTTTCCAGGTCCAATTGGCCAATCTCTGTAGCCTAAAATGATAACGGTCATATCCTCCTACTATATATCCATAAAGACCCCCCCCCCCCCACCTTTCGGAACAGGTGCCAGCTACTTTTGCAGTAACTGGGAATTTCACAGAACACACAGTTTCTGTAAAATAAAGCTAAAACCCCAAACTGGAGAATCTTTCTCATCTGGATTTATAACAGACTCTGGATGAAGGCATGCCAGATTGTACATCATGTCAAAACAAAGTAGCTTCTGTTTCATGTCAGAGGTCTTGAGTAAGGCTATAAATGTGGTTCTGTTCCTTTAGCAGATAGCACAGCGTCAGTTAAATGTAAATAGTATATTGAGGATCGTACTCACTAATAAGCTCAGTTGATAGCTGAGAACAAAGTCTCGCGTTCAGCTTGTTTAAGTGCTCAGATGCTGGCATCATCCTTACAGTGTGTGTTTGTTAAGAAGACAGACGGTCGTCCTGGATACAGAATGATGTGTTAGTAGGAAATAATGTAAGAACGCACAATGGAGATAAGATGCCAGCCTGCATGTCATAAAATGATGTCCAATAGAAATGTCCTTGTTATGATTCTGTGTTGTTCTTATTAGGAATGACTTTTCAGCTTGAATTGTTGTAGCCCAGAAAAATGTGAATCCTAAATGGACCATCAAACATGTAATTGTTTAGTGCCTGCATGTCACTTACATTTGCTAATAATGTTTTTCAAATTATTTGTATTGGCTCAAATGAGAGCAGCCATTGGTAACCCTAAATAACCTAAAATGTACACATTCACTTTACTCTTGAAAAAAGCTTCATATTTTACATCTATTCATGAACAAATTGGCTCTTTACTGTCACTTGGTTATAACTGAATTATTATGACCAAATTAAGCATATAATAAAAGTGATTATTTTTAGTTTGCATCAAGCTGTTTCTGTGCAGTTAAATGCTGTTTGTCATGTAGACTACAAAGGCCCCTAAGGACAAAACACATGCATAACCAAAAGCACACACATTAGGGAATTCTTACCAAATCCAAAATCGCTACAGATTGAAAAACATGTAAATGAAAAAATGATCCCCAAAGCAAAACATTGACAAATATTACAATCATTTGAAAGGTAAAAACACACGTTATGGACGTATTATTATTATTATTATTATTATTATTATTATTATTATTATTAATGTAAACTTACAAGCACCAATGCTTTTTTTACATGACCTTTAAAGTAGTCCTGCTATTCTTTTATTCTGGTACTATTATGGCGCATTTCCACTGCAGCGCGTAGCACGTGCCGTGCCAAACCCGGCCCGTTTTTGTTGCGTTTCCACTAGGGCTAGTTCCGGCTCAGGGCTACCTTTTCACAGTTTTTCTGGCCCTCCAAAATCGTGGTTCTTTCCGGGTCAACAACCGGGCTGAATATGCTAAGCTAGTGACGTGAGTGGCTACAACTACAACACAATGAACATATTTGACCGTGATTTAATTGTAATTGTAACCTTGTAACCTTTTAAAATGCGTGTTTTCTGAATGGAGATCAGCTAACGTTGTATATGCTCCGACCGTCCACACTCACAACAACGGCCTATACAGACATAAATAAACCAGCGACTGTATTCGCCATGACACAGGCAGTCTGTGGTTTGTACTTGTTTAACTTCTGTCTAGTTTCTGAACAGATATGAAGAGCTGTGAGCTCTGAGTGCTAACAGCTAACGGCTGATGTTTGGTTTTGTGGTTCGCATTGAAGATGACGTCATAGCTCCGCCTACATTGCGTTACTATAGTTACTGCACCAGCTACTAAACTGTAATGGAAATGCAGCATAAAATGAGCCTCGCCTACCAAGGCCTAACTATACCGTACTAAGCCATGCGAGGCCCTGCAGTGGAAATGCGCCATTAGAGACTATAGTTTTATCAGGAGACAATATTTGTTCTGCTAAATCAGATGCGACTGGATTTCAAATAGATTCTCCAGATCAGACTGGTGGGGGGGGGAGAATCTTCAATCGGAAGTTGTCTACCCCATGTCGAACAGCCTTATTCAATTACAAAAAAACTCACTTCAGATTAGGCTTTGAATACATTTCTAATAAAACACAAATGATAAACCTTTGTGTCCAGGTAAGATTTCAAGTCTGGCATCTTCTTGGTCTCATAGCTGTAGAAAACCACAGGTACTTAGTAAGTGCAGTTGTACAGCCCCACAGCCAATAGAAGCAACAATGAGTCCATCCCAAAAGAAGACAAAAGTTACTTTAAGTACAGGTCCATTTAATAAACACATTATATCCTAGGCAATACAAAAACGTAGAGCATAAGGTCTAATAACCTAACCCTTGTTGAGTTTCCCTTTTTTATTTTCTAACTGCTCAAACTGTTTGCTTCTGTAAACACTTCTGAGCTTCACCAGTCTCTGGGAATGTTCCATGGAACTTTTTCTGGCAAGTGTTACAAATGTGTAGCAATTTAGTGCAGGGTCATTACTTCCTATCTCATTTAGAACTTTCTACAATCATAAATACATATATATATATATATATATATATTAGTGTTGTCACGATACCAACATTTTGGTTTCGATACCGATACTAAGTCAAGAATTGCGATTCCGATTATTTTTCGATACTTTTCTTTTATTATTTTCATGATCAAAAAAATTGTAGTTTATCTGTTAAGTGTTTTCTTACAACATGGTCTCTTCTTTATACTTGAGTTTATGTGATTTCTTTGATAGTTAACTTTATATTTTATAAACATGTAATAGTACAGTAATATAAATAATTATTGCCAAAATGTATATTGCAGATGTTAGCCACATTGGTAAGTTAGCTAAAAAGATAGCCATATTAGACAGTTATCATTGCCATTAATTGCCTCATCAAACTATGAAAACGTTCGCTTGTCACAAAATAAATTACACTTGTTTGACTTAGATTTGAGGGCATGGGCTTGAGCATGATGTAATTATGTTATCCATCACATTCGCTAACCTGTCTGTCTTTAAATTCTTTAAACAGCTCTGAATGCCGGTCGTCAGGTGCTTAGCCAAGTCTGATGTGTTGGCTCTAGAGATGTCCCGATCCGATCACGTGATCGGGAATCGGAGCCGATCACGTGATTTTCAAAAGATCAGAATCGGGAGAAAAAAATCGGGGATTGGGAATTTAAAAAAAAAAAATTTATAAAATATTTGTATTATTTTATTTAATGTTACAAAACAAAAATGACCATGTTCACGTCTTAAAGTCATCCTGAGGACTTAGTTTTGGTTTAAAATTACACATCATGTATGTGTTGCTTCTTTTGGGCTTGTTTTCAGACCTGGTTGCTTATTTCTCTCAAATCTGGCAACAGAGTGGGCGCAGTGTCTAATAGTAGCAGTAAGCTAACGAGAGGCTACGTTCAGCTGGTGACTCGGGAGTCGGGACAGAGCAAATGTCAGGAGTTTGGAAGTATTATAAAATTGAAAGCGAAGGCAGTGTAACAGCCAGATGCAATGTTTGCAAGGCGGAGGTTCCACGTGGTGGAAAGAACAGAGCGACGTTCAACACGACCAATCTAATACGCCACCTGAGAAACAAACACCAACAACAACACGACGAGTACACAGAGGCCACTCAGGTAACGGCACTGAAACAACCGACACTTTCAGAGACTTTTAAAAGGAAAGAGAAACGGCCCCAGAACAGTGAAAAGGCCAAAAAAACAACAGCCAAGATAGCTGAATTCATCGCGTTGGATGACCAGTCGTTATCCGTTACCTTTTTTTTCTCTTAATGCATTGCATAAAGATCGGAAAAAATCGGTGTCGGCAGATTGTCAAAATCAAATGATCGGAATCGGATCGGGAGCAAAAAAAGGTGATCGGGACATCCCTAGTTGGCTCCCTTGGTTTGCAGGGATCTAAAACATGTCTCACAGACAGGCCTTGTGGTGTCCGTAGGCTTGCCCTCACTGTCAGAGATATAGCTAAAATACTTCCAAATTTCGCTTCTGGCGTCTTTTTTGTCAACAAGCCGAGGCGCAGCGGCAGTTGCACTCCCACTTGCAGCCACTTGCTCCCCGTTTTCTCACATGCTCTGGCAGCTAGCGCGTGCACGAAATAGGGGAGGGACTTAGAGCGTGCTTGAGAGGGGAGGGAGGGACTGCAGGCACGGCTGCAGTGCAGGGAGTGGAAGCAGAGCGCTGAACACACACGAGCGCTTTCTCACCGGAGTACTTTTCCCCGTCATTCTTAAAGTACCGATACTAATGAAACGGAGGAATCGTATCGTTTTTAACGGCAGGGTATCACGGTACCTTTCAAGTATCGGTACACCGTGCAACACTAATATATATATATATATATATGTATGTCGGTCTTTTAAGACCATAAGGATGGTGTTGATGGCAGCGGCTGTCTGGTATTCCATGATGAACTTCTTTAAACATTTCGGCATTAACCATTTACACTTTGATCTGAGATAGATGATTATTGATGTAGTTATGTTTGATGGCTCTAACTGTTGTTGCCTCTATAATATACTTTAAATTGACTGTGATAAATAAATGATGTTTTGAATAACTTATTGGAGTTATTTCTTGAGTATGAAAAAGATTGTGTGACCAGGGGAACTGTAGTTATATAAAGAGTTATGTAAGTTAAGTATAATCATGGAAGACAGCTCTAGACAGAGAGACAAACTGTGAGCTTGAGAGAAAGAAGCAATGTAAGTAAATAGCTTTGACCATTGCCATTTACACACTAGCTCCGGTCATGTGTCATCAAAACACAAATGAACAGGTACTGTACTGTATAATATCCACTTCCACCAATATGCCAGATATCCAGCCGGTAGTAAGCTAGCTAACAGAAGATATGGGAGTTTTTGAGACCTGAAATGCCCAGTCAGTAAGATTCAGACAGTCAGATAAATGAGGCTTCCAGGATTCCATGTGTGCCGTGTCAGCAGGGGACATCAGTGTGGAGCTCCACCACATGAGGAGTTCTGCTCAGTACCATGATGTAGGAGCAACAACATTAACACATGAACAATGTTAATCTAAGAGCACATTTATTGATGTTATATTCTTTCATTTTTTACCATTTAGTAGCTCTAACTCTAGTTTTTTTTTTTTTTTTTAAATACGGTCGACATCAGCAGTGGCGACTGGCACAGCCCCACCTAGTGTCAGCAGAAAGTATTACAAATAATGATTACAAAAAAATGCAAAAAATAAATAACAAAGTATATAAAATATATTTTAAGATCATGGTTAATCATCTGATTCGTCTGTACATTGCTGTTTTAGTCTGTGTTCTTCTAATTAGTGTCTACAGTGTGTGCCTATTGAGCTGTTTAGAGCCATGTGGGACAAAACCCGATCCTGCCCCTCCCTCTCACTGTCTAAGTCAGGGGTGCCCACACTTTTTTGGCTGGTGAGCTACTTTTGAAATGACCAGCTCACCGGGGTCTACCAACCAAAAATAAAATCCCAAATTGCAAGGGTTGCTGAATAACACGTTTTATTTATACATGGGATAACTACAATAGGGCTGCAACAAACGACTAATTTGATAATCGATTAATCTATCGATTAATGAAACGATTAATCGACTATTCGGGCTATTACTGTATGCCTTGCACAATTTCTCAAGCGCTCTTATCAACTTTTAGATTTAGCTTGAGGTTGTTTTAGGCATGTGGAAACTAACAATGAAGACAGTAAAGATGAATACTTGATTCAAAAATACATATATTATTCAATTAACTTAACAAATTGTGAACAAAATTAACATTGCTTTTTATTTAAATTAAATAAATAATATTTCACATCAAAAGAAACAACAGTGTTTTAACAAATCGTATTAAATCATCTGATGACAGAACTGTAAACAGAATAACTGAAACTTTAACAAAATAAAGAGTAACTCTGTTTCCTCTAATCATTAACCCATGTTTGTATAATGTAGTTAACTCCGTGTGTTGCTGCTAGCATACATAACACCTGATGTGGAAA